ATGGTATAGTTGACCTTGATTAAACAGCCGGCCCCAAAAATCACCAAAAACTAGCAAAAAATGCCACGCAACAGAGAGCAAATAAAGAGGTAGAACGGGAACCACAAACCAGTTGTAGCGGATTTAGAGTGTCTGACGCGATCACTAATCCAAGGGAGACAACTCTTGTGTGTTGTGGTATGGACTAGACAGTTTTAGTTTAATGGAACCTCAACAATAACGATATTTGTTAAATTGAGAAACATACATTGATTAAGATTTAGAAGCTCTTATAAACCTGTAACTGTAAATCTGGTTTGACCATTCCAGGTTTTTCTATGCCCGAAATAACTTGCGATCTGAAAGTTGGGGGTGGCCTTTGGGGTTTCTTCTTCTGGGGTGCTTTTCTTTCTTCAAGAAAACATGATGCAAGGTTATTCTTTCAAGGTGTAAAGGTTATTCTATACATTGACACCAGGGAGAGAAATGGGGTTTAACGTCAACTAGACACAAACTAGGTGACTTCGTGACTAACATGGTTCAATTCTATTTTAATAATTAGATTGTGCGTATGGGTCTTTGGCAGTGGGAGGAAACCGGAGAAACCCCAGAAGCGACTCTCGTTGTAACGTACAAGCTGGGAATCGATACCACACCACTTGACTCAATGACAGACCTTATGTTAAACCACCCAACCCCCATCTCAATTTAAAACTTAAGCATTTTTCACTTAAAAATTTGTACGTTAACCAAATTATTTTACGTGCACACCAATGTGTACACGGCACCTCGGGTGTTCAGCAAATACCTCTGATTTGCTCTTAGTTGGCCAGTGGGCCTATTAGGTCCATATCTTGAATACAATATTATACAAAGATAAATGAATCTATAGGCCTAACTAGTTTAGAACAAAGTACGAATAAATGTAATTATAAGCCTGAACCGTTATATCAGCAACGGAAAGGAAAGAACGGGCAAAGATGAAAGTTGTGGTTAAATTGCAACAAGTAGTAGTATTTTAAGGAATTGGATGAATGAAGAAACATAAATACAAACTACAGATCAATGAATGCTTATCGTAAAATATGTCTGAATTAAAAAAAAACAAGAGATAAAAAAATCAATGACGAATGACAATTATTATTTTCATACAAAAAAAGAAACACATATAAGCGGATATTTAATGAATTAAGTGAATAAAGACATGTCTCAATGGTACATAAAATAGACGCCTTCTCGTATTATCAGTGTCCGAATGAGTTGAGAAGATGCTGTAATTTTGCTGAGCCGGTCATGTGTCTTATGGTCATACCCAAAGCCAAGTGTTTTGGCATTAATTTCCTACCCTGGGATGCAAGATAGATAATATCTTGAGCCAATGATAGTATTTTCTTCTGACTTTCATTGCTTTCTATTTCTACAGTTTCAATGCTAAATTCATGACTGATTCCTGTACACCATGCCAGAAAATTTAACAGTATTGGTGGAACTACCTTTTTGCACTCTTGGATAGCAGAGTTCTCTGCACTTGGGGGCCAGTTTGAAACACTTTGTGAATTTGCAATTGCAGTCCGAATGATAACAGCTGCTCTAAACAGCTGTGCAAATTGCTGTTGCTCAGAATGATCTTCAGCTGATGGTCTTTCAATTTCTTCGTAATCAAATCCATGAGAATCACTGTCACTTTCTGTTTCACTGTCAGAACTATTGTTCTTTGATTCATATTCCCTGAAGTGAATTAAACTGTCATCATCGGTTTGGTGATACACAAATTCAGATGTTATTTTGTCCGGCTGTGTGTACTTGAGGTTTGGATATTTTTTGATTAATCTCTGTTTCAGCTGATAATTTCGGTACCCACTAATGTCAACACTATCAACTTCTTTTGCACATGTTATGAACAATTTTGTGAGCAAGTTCATTGGTAAGACTTCTTTGTTTGTAATTATCCTTTTCTCTATCACATTTGTGCATAATGTGTCAAAAGCATTGGATAAAGGGCGCCCTAATGCTGCCTTTTTATCATAAACACACTTAGTGTATTGTTTATAACACGAGGAGTGATATCTGACCTCAATACAAACTGGGTCCACGTCACCAATCTGCAACAAAATACGGCTGTCGCCTTTCAATTTAGCAGCCTGCAAAAGTTTTTCAGCATAAGTTTCACATGTGACTAATGCCTCCACATTTCTCTTCAATGTTCTTTTGTCAATAATAACCTTCCTCTTTTGGCATATAATGCATTCTTCTGGTAATACATGTTTTGAACGCCTCACAACAACTTTATCCCTGCCTAATGAGGATCTCAGGATGCATTTTAACTTTTTAGGGGAAGATGGAATTTTAGAGATATTGGTGTCGCTATCGGCAGGCCTTAAACACCCCTTATCTTTTCGTTTAACACCCTGTTCAATTCGTTTCTTATTTGTGAAACGTTGATAGCAAACTCTGTGAAAACCACTAGTGTCACGAGAAGTAGAATTGAATACACAAGCTATTTCTTTTTCCTTTCCGTCTAGAGAAGCCCACAAATTCATACACTCACATATCCTTCCCCAGGATACATCAGAAACAGGTAAAATTGGCTCATCTGTGCAGTCAGTGATATGACAACAACATTCAAGCATGGGCGCGGCCATCTTTGTTAGGCTCGGGCTCGACAGTTTTCAGGCCTGATGCTGCCTTCTGATTGGTTAAAATTAATATGGCATTTCTTCTTTTCGTCGTGAATTTTCTGGTGTAGTTCTAAACTTTTTGGAGAATCAAAGACACTGCACATATTGCACACTAATATGTAACAGGCCTTGCCTGAGTAGAGCGAAGCTGATGTGATTGTTTTCAAATAAAACCTTCATAATAAAGTTTCCCCAATTGAAAAAAGAACAAAAAGGTGTGAGGTTTTTCATTGACGTCAAAATTATCTGACGTCATTTATTCGACGCGTCATAGAAATATTTCTTAGAGACCCAAAATCTCGCTTGGGCGAGATTTGGTAAGTTGACATGCGCTGACATGCGCATTGACAGACATGCGCATTGCCTGTTTTCCCCAGTGTATCCGGTTCCTGTCTGAATTTTTTTTTAATCAACAGTCTGTGGGTGACATTTTCAATTACGCTCCTGTGTTACCGGAAAAGAGCTTTGCTCAAGCACCGCGCTTCGCGCGATGCTTTAGAGCTTCGCTCTATATCAGGGTCAAATTAGTAGCATAAAGGGGGAGGGGGCATACAATTTTCGCACAGCTACGGCAAGGAAACTAGGGGGCATACGCCGGAATATGCCCCCTTTTACAGATATAACAACAGAACGCAAATTTCAAACACATAATTCTCAATACTTAAATATATCAGATTCGTCGCTTCGCTAGAAGAGCGACGAAATATGCTCTTCTGTATGTCTCCAACATACAGTTATTGTGCATTATGCTGGTGACCTTAGTGTTAGAGGCAATATCATTACTACTGAAGTAAATAGGCATTCTCTCTAAACGGTCCATTTTCGGCCTACTTTGGACAGCTTTTGACCTAATGTTGGATTTGGCAATGCTTTATAAAATAAAATGAACTGACTAGTTGTAAGGAAATATTATTTAAAGATACTTTGTGTGCTATACATTATGCTATAATAGCTCAAAAATTGATAATGTAAAATGAAAATTTCATTCAAATTACTTCATTCTGAGGCAAGTTATCACTGTTTGTAGTTTTGACAAGATGTGTGCATAATGGTAACAAGGGCACTGGTATATTCGAGTCTTAGCCCCGCTTTCCCATTTTTAAATTAAATTTTTAAATGGCGAACAGTTCTAATCTGGTTAGCTCTTGCATAATGTATGTTTAAGTGATTCCCCCGTGTTATTATAGGAGAAATTCCAATTAGGGATTTAGATTTCCGATTAGGGATTGGAGATTAATGATACTCCTACCTTAGACCTGATACAATGACATTCATCCAGTATCAACTAAATTTCATTTTCATTTGGAGTGTCTCCCAGCTCACTGCGGTAGCGGCGTGTGTCGACTGGGGCCACTCCCAGGTCACTACGGAAACTGATCATGCCAATTGAAGCACGTTGTGAATTTAATTCACAAAATGATTCAGATGTTGAGACACAGATGGATACAGTATCGCCTGTTTATCAGATATGCAGTGAACCATTTGATAAGGATCTGCCCACCGTTATTTCGAAAATAATGGGTATTGGAGGATTTAATAAGACGGCTATGCTGAGAAATTATGGTCCTGATTGCAAGCTTGGTGAAAAATACCATGTGGAATATCGCAACTTTCACTATTGCACAATGTTGTAACGCTATTGAAGTGGAGGAGCCGCTGTCTTTTACATGGTCTGCAAGAAAGAATAGCAGACGGTCCATTACAACAGATTATGATCGTGACCGATTTTTTGGACATGCCAAGGTAGGACAATTGACGACTGGACATTAATCTGGTTGTATTTTTTTGTGATAATATACGTTTAGATTGGCCATAAACCGTGGTCGCCATTTCTATTGCAGCAACTGCCCAGAATAGTGCGAAATTGAGTTAAAGTGCCGAGACTAATTGGGGATTTTGGTCAAATGGCAGCCATTTTTTTTACGTCATAATTTGACCCAATTGCGGTGGCTCAATTTCGGCCAACTTTTGATACGTTGTTCTCTGGACCAAATACTATAAGAAAATGCGATAAAACGTTTTCTTGCAGTTTTTGGGGGGTTATTTTGCAATTTGACCTTATAAGTAAGCATGGAGCGGAGCGTCAGCACCGCTGGAGTCAGACCACTGATGATTTGGCCGTTACACTAGTAATCATGTAGATTTTCGTAGACAGAAAATTAAAGTATATACGCTTTACGTTTACTAGAGTATTCCAGTGGCTATGAAGGAATTAAACGTCCAACCCATGCAGAGTGATTTCACAGGGAGAATGCCATATCATCGCAAAGATTAGTATTAATATTTTAGGGATTCGATCGGGATTTATTAATACAGTTGGTTTATACAATAACAAAAAAAAGATACTTTAAAACGTTCAATTTATTTCTAAATATCACAAACTGGATATCACAAAAATTCCTGACAAAACTTCAATAAATACATAAATAGTATTATATATAAAAACACTGCGTATACAATACATATATATGCTGCTATGAACGTCAAAGTCATTACAGAACTTGAATAATATGGTAATATTTATTTTAAAATAATTTGCTTTCACGCAGGTTATTCTAGCAATGGGGAGCGGAGGGGGGGGGGGGGGGTGAGAGTCGAGGATGCACGATGTTGAACAGGAAAGCCCGGACCATACCGTACAATAGTGGGATTAAAACAATGAGAAATGAATCATTGACAAACGTTATGATCTAAAAAGCACGTGTTATACCACTAGGCTACAAATCCATAAACTTGAGAAGAAACTGTCCCATAGCTTAACTATAATTGGTGTAATGTGTGCTGATAGCACTTTTCATTTATTTTGGGAATTTGACATAACTAATAATGCGTTGTACTTTCCTAATGTCCAATCAAGGGGATCAATGCTTTAACGAAGATCTTATTATGGCGGCATTTTATAATACAGAAAGATAGATTCGTTCAATGTTAACATTATCTGTTTGTGTTACGAGAGTCGGATCAATAAAGTGAGTGACGAAGGCCTTCCCAACCATATAAAAATCAACGCTCCTAGTATTAGAATAAACCCAATATAAAAAGATGTTTAAACAGTTCTCATCTACAGGAACCTACTACATAAAATGTTAGTTTCGAGTGGTATTGAGTGTTCTGGAAAGAGCATTTCTTGCCTCGTACACGATGTCCATCACAATCTACAGCTATAAAGTCAAAACCTGTGAAATTAGCCTGTTATTCTATAGGTACAAAGCGGCATTTTTAAATAATATCAATACCATATGCTACCTGAATTTATGCTACTTAATATAAATACCAATAATACATTTATCTCATCTTAAAATATATTGCTGCTGAACCTTATTGACAATGATCAAGAAAGGCAGTGCGTATGTTCAGATTCATGCATACAAAAGTAATTGCATACAAAGGAATAACAAAAGAGTGTCAGCTGTGTGAACACCACAACTTATATTAGTATTTCAAAATTGTCTTTAGTTATATATGAAAATGTACAGTACTATCGACATTAAAGGGCAATAACATTAAATTCGATAAAAACAAAATTCCAAAAGAGTAGGCAGTAGAAGTAAAGGGGGAGGGGCATGTCAAAGCGATGCCGGAACCACGTGAAAGTACTATCAAGTGTTCAGAAACAACATTCATATAACGAACATCTGTCTTAAAGGGGCATGACCACCCCACCAATAAATATGATAATAAGCACTGCCTAAAACAAAACAAAAATTCTCACTATTCGTAAATTGTATATATAAATCTCAAATTTGGCACACAATCTAAATTGGATATCTACGGTGTAAGAGTATTGTTAAATTACTGCAAATGGAAAAGTATTTTTTTTATCAACCGACAAAAACTCCCTAAGCTCATGAAATTAATACGACGACTAATGTCTCTTTGATATGACAATTATGTAATATGGTTATAAGCAAAACAATCATTATAATTTGTAGGCTAAACAATTTTGGCAATAAATAGAAATAGTGTTAACTTAAAGATATGTTTCCTCTGTTCAATCCACAAAACTGAATTTTATCTTAAAATATGATATTTCTAATGACCGGGAAAATACATATTATAAACATAAATTATATACTAAGTCCACAATAAACTGGTTATTACAGACCAAATTGAATAAAGGTGCGCGCTATTAATGCGAAGCGAATAGCACCCATCGGACTCATCCAGGAGCACTCGTCCTCTCGTACCGTGTCATCCTCCTGGTAATTGCATCATCTAAAATGGGCTTGGCTTGGAATATCGCACAGGATACGGTGTTTTCGCAAAAAAATGTTTTCAATTGGTGGTTTTGCATTTAGACTTTCTGCCGTCGAGAAAATAATCTTTAGTTTACAAAGGCGATCGAATGCTATACCAAACTGATGTCAATTTCATTCTATTTTCTATATAACGAAATATTAATGATCCAGTAATAACACTGTTACTGTTGGCCTAGTTCTTGTTCTCAACACCCCAATAAGACTAGAGAATCATGAATGATGCTTTATAGAAGGGTTTACGCATGGCCCATATCCGTTAGCTCGGTTGGTGCAGAAAAGTAGTAAGTTAAACCTCATTTCATCCATTTATTCGTACACATGGCATGTAGTAGCCATGTCACCATTTCAATAATGTTCATATAATAAATATTGTTTAATAATGGACGGCACTGGAAGATCGTTGACTAGTTTAGGTATTTGTTGGAGGAACATCTGACGTATGGACTGACGAACCAGGTGTTTCAACGAACGAGGTGCTGACGACAAGGAGATCAACAGACGCCTCTGCCAGTCAAGCAGTCCTGAATAACGCTGTATTGCGGGAAGATCAAATAATTGAGCAGACACGGCTAATAAAGAAAATATATCGTCTTTATCTTTTAGATTCGACATGTAATGGAGAATTCCAAAAGGATCTTTTAATCTCGCTGGTGATGACTGACCCTTGAAATGAACTTTAGCGCCATGTTTGATTAAGAGATGAACCACGTCATACGTGATGGTTTCTCCGTCTTGGATACGCAGATATTCAGTAAGTGCCGACAAACATGGCGATGTGTAGGATACGATGCCTGCATGTTTATTTGGATCTGCTCCGTTATCCAACAATAATTCGATGATCTGTTTTCGTTGTGTTAGATTTGGTGTGGCACAGGCTAAAACCAACGGTGTCGTCCTGTCGTCAGAGAACTCGTTTACATCCGCATTCCATTTCAGAAACATTTCGCAGAAGTCGACTCGATCCTTTAAAACGGCAATATGAAGGGCCCCATAATTGTAATTATCCAGTTTACCTGGCTTTGCTCCATGGCGTAATAACGTGTGGGCGATTCCTGAATTTCCTACTTGAACACAGAAATGCAAAGCCGATTTTTGATCGAATCTTGGCGGCGACTGGAGGTTGACATCTGCTGCGTACGTGAGCAGAAGTCGAACCACGTCAAGTCGTTGCTGACGACAAGATTTCATTAACGGTGTGATACCGCATCTATTGCAAACATTCGGATCAGCGCCATATTGTAACAAGAGTTCCAGGCACTCCACGTGATCAATGGGTACCAAGTTGATTTCGTACCCCATGAAATATTTATGGTCCGGACGAGCTCCACTTTCTAGCAGAAGTCTTAAACAATCTACATTATTATTTTCCACGGCTAAATTTAACGGTTCTATAGTTAAATATCCCAAATCTCGAATATTCTCACTAATGGCCGGATTTTCCGCAAAGAAGTCCACAAAGGCTCCATTTTCTATCAACAGTCGCATAGATTTCAACGCTCCCTTTCGTGCACACACGTGCATCGGAGTGTAGCCTATGTCATCTGGTTGGTTGACGTCCGCACCTTTTTCAATGAGAAGACGCGCCCCTTCGACATAATCGACATAAACGGCATAATGCAAGGGCCGTAATCCACGTTTGACAGAACCGTTGACATTAGCACCACAGTTTATAATAAGCTCAATATCCTCTAGAGGGGATTTGAAGGTCAATGCATCGGATAACAATCTGAGTATATTCTTCTCCTTCAGTATAGAACGACCTTGGCAATCAGACGAATCATCACTGTCATCAGTCTCCTCCGTCTGAAATATAAGAACAATGCACTGTTTAAGTAAAATCTAAACTATTTTGTGTACATTCCCTATACATGAGAAGGATTATCTTGTGTTCGAAAGATAGGTTATCAGACAACGAAACATGCACCCACAGCAGCTAAGTTGTCCAAAGCAGTCCACAAAGGTATTCGAATATTTTTTGTAGGTAATGGTAGCATTATCGGAAATCGTGAAGAATCAATGGACATTTTCTAGCCAAGATCCAAAAGGTTCTTAATACTGCAGCCCGAATAGTAACAAGGACACATAAGTTTGATCACATCCAGAATGTGCTGGCTTCTTTACATTGGTTACCTGCTGAGGCGCGAGTCAAATACAAAATACTAACATTAGTGTATAAATGTCGCAATAATGCAGCTCCTCAATACTTATCTGAACTCTTATATGACTACAACCCTATTAGATCACTTCGCTCTCAAAATAAACAGTCACTAGTTGTTCCAAGATATAATTTGAAGTCATATGGGTATAGGTCTTTCAGTTCAGCTGGTCCTAGATTATGGAACGAACTTCCACAACAGATCAAGAATCAACAAACTTTTAATCAATTTAAATCCGCACTAAAGACTTTCCTGTTTCAACAGTTTTACCAGTAGAGCCATTACAAAAAGCGTTTTGAGCATGTGTCAACATGGAGAAGACGCTATATAAAACTTCATTATTATATTTATTATATTATTAAGACCAAATGGGACAATATTCATGATTCTTGTTTCTAGATTCCAGTTTGAACATTTTAGACATGAACGCAACATTCTAAACTAATGATTCTTGTTTCTACATTCTTATGTCAACATTTCATGCACAAAATCAACATTTTAAACAAAAAATTGACTTTATGTTTCATTTTCGGCGTTTTATCGGTAACTTTTGTATATCATTAAATATTAAAATTAAAAAAATAATTTCTTAATTTTACACGACAAAGAAATCAATTCATTGGTTTCTGAAAGTAACTAAAAAAAATCTGGAATTTGAGCTCTTATGAAAATATTTTCTACGTTTCAAAAAGTCTTAAAGTTAAAATCTTGAAATGAAAATGTCCAGAAAAATATCATGAATTATCAACATTATTACACCAGAGGGCGTTAGCGTATGTGTACAACTTTGATACAGACTATAGATTAGAAATCAAATGTAGACTTTTCCACGAGTGGAAGTGGGCCCCTGTTGTATTTACAGTACACGTAATTAGTTGCATGAAACAGAAATTAAGCTCGAGATATAATAACAATACACATAACTTTTATAATTTAAACAGCTAGAAAAATTAGGACAAAGGCCTTTCTTACATATTCGCTGTTATTTGTTTACTTTTTCATATGTTTACAAATAAGACCTACACGTGTTTCGAATATGGCAAAAATGGATGATAATGCTGTGTTTTAAATGGAATCTATTCACTGTTATTTGTTTACTTTTTCATATTAAGTATAACTAAAGGATAGTGTTTGCAAATTAGACCTACACGTGTTTCTAGTGGAAAAATCTACTTTTGATTTCTAATCTATAGTCTGTATCAAAGTTGTACACATACGCTAACGCCCTCTGGTGTAATAATGTTGATAATTCATTATATTTTTCTGAACATTTTCATTTCAAGATTTTAACTTCACGACTTTTTGAAACGTAGAAAATATTTTCATAAGAGTTCAAATTCCAGATTTTTTTTTGGATACTTTTAGAAAGCAATGGATTGATTTCTTTGTCGTGTAAAATTAAGAAATTATTTTTTAATTTTAATATTTAATGATATATAAAAGTTACCGATAAAACGCCAAAAATGAAACATAAAGTCAATTTTTTGTTTAAAATGTTGATTTTGTGCATGAAATGTTGACATAAGAATGTAGAAACAAGAATCATTAGTTTAGAATGTTGCGTTCGTGTCTAAAATGTTCAAACTGGAATGTAGAAACTAGAATCATGAATATTGTCCCATTTGGTCTTCCATAATTTTCGTCTTATCAACATAAACACTGTGTATAAATTCCAAATCAATCGGATAAAGTCTTTAGTCTCAACTGCTTATTGGCGACGGACATACAATATAAGACCACTTGGACGTAAATAAGTAGTAACTAAGTTCTAGCGCATAACAGTGTACATATAGATTTGAATATTTAATCGAATTTTGAATTAATCCTCCATCAGAACACTTTACTATCTCTATTGAAACTGGTTTAGTGTGTGTTTAAACCAAGGCGCTAACTTTCGTACAGTCTTCCAAGCGCCAAATAAAACATAATGAACTTATTAACATCCGTGATTTAATTAGACTGTTTCACTTATTAATATGACAATGGTGGGTCGCAATCTTACTTCAGTTAGATGTTATTTCCGTTCTATTTATTCGAGTTGTCACTCCATTAATACCTAAAGACATCTTTCAGAGTTCCCATGACAGCATAATAATACTTTTGACCTTGATTAACTAACCTACTGTATATAAGATTTCCCGGGTTTGTGTGATTTGTAGGTTGATCTATTGTCTACCAATCACAATCTGCGCTTTATTAAACGCATCCCGATAAAGAAACGTTTGGACAAGAACAAGTGGAATAAACAGGAGAAATATAAAACGGAACGAAATGTTGGCATAACTCGAATTAAATTGAATGAGCGACTGGATAATCAAGTCTTTCTTGATGAACGTAAAACCCAAACTTTCCCGGGTAAAACAAAACAACATATCTCATACCAAAGTATAAATAAAGATTTTTGAGTTAAGTTTATCTATAGATAAATATTATTTGCACGCTGACCTGATGTAGACAAGTTTATCGTTCTAACAAATGGCATTACATAACCTAATCTCATATGTCTGGGTGTCCGTTCTATTAAAATATCACCAGTTATTTAATATCTGTGTAGCCAGGGTCTCCACTGTTTCCTTTCTATTCTTACATATATATCTTCATGACGTAGAGTTTAATCTTGTACTCTTACCAGACAACACTTCATTTCCTGTCTTCTGTGTCTTTCGTGGACAGCAGTTTGATAACAACTTATTTTGTAGTAGTCGCATCCTAATTGCAATTAATGTGGGGATCTAACCTAACTGATACATTCGTGAAAGTGATATTACTTCATGAGTAATCCCGTCGTCGTTATGACTGACAATTAACCCCGTCAAAATTTCACACTAAAATTAATTGTTGAATTTCAAGTGATAAAAGGATGAATTAGAGGCATTAGTTAAGATTTTCAAGTCTAATTAACCCCTGTGATATCTCTATAATACACCTTCGCTCATTAATAATGAGTCATCACACGTCACCAGTCCTGTAAACACGTCAAATTGTATAATACGTCATCAGGGGTGACGGTGTATAGGGATGGAGGTAAACATCTAATAGTAAGTGCAGGGGGACTGCACCACACACATACAATTACACAAGAAAAAAAAAACACGGACATAACACAATTACGCAGTCATCGCAAACAAGCATATATATATATGGATCCGGGAGCCAGCCATAAGCGCCCACTGCGCTGTATAGTCCCGTACCTGTAATAATACAGACTTCACTTAAAATGAAAACAAACTAAGAGTAAGGAGGAACACTTCCCAAACGTTGTCTAATACTAGCACGACTCGTGATTTGCTATATGCCACATGAAATATCGATGTAGTTCATTGTCGAAATGACAAGTGTTTACAGTTTTACGTCATTAAAACCAAAATACGATCATTAACATCCACGAAAGAAAGAAAGAAAGAATTCCAAGAAAAATGTTAAATATTTTAGGCTACAATATCGATAAACACCCCATGTTTAGAATTTAGAGGACTGTTATTGTCCATTTGACACCGCCTAAATTTTTCATTGGAGTCCTCTAAATTCTAAACAGTCGGTTTTTATCTCCTAAACAACACCCAAAATAAACAGGGCGATAATCCAGATAAAGACAACGCTAGAAGGGTAAATTTAGGAACAGATAGGCATTATTCAGATGTGTAATTTCATAAAATATACTAAGTCACACACCCATAAGAAATGCAAACTAGGCATGTTGAAAAAATAGAGCCTTAAAAATGTATTTGAGTAAAAAAACGTATAATAAGGGCGATAATCCAGATAAAATTAGGAAACCGCTCAAATTGAAACATAATTATTAAATCATATCATTGCATAAAATGTAATCAGCTATATACTTACAAGAAATGTCAAACTTTCTTTTAAAATGCGTAATTGTGTTCCGCCCTTGGCAGTGCATTTAAAACAAAGAGAATTTATTCTAGACACGGTATATCTCACATAAGGTAGAATACCCGAGGTAATTACAGGGTATTGCACGTGTGTAGTATTAGGGTTAATTGGTCTATTACCAGTAATTAATAACGACTTTAACACGTTATTCTATAGGGCTGACACAACTGATTATGGAAGCCTATTGCGGCCATTTCATAATGATGATAACCAGTGTGATTTGAGTTAGAATATTAGTAGATTATTATGGATAAGGGTAGATTTGTGTATGGGTAGGTTTGGGTAAATTTTGCTATTGGTGCTATTAAGCGAACCTGCGTGCGGATTGAATTTCTGAGGAGAGAAAGCGCAAAAGCGAAAAGTCGAAGAAGCGAGAACGCGGGGATTTTCAAAGGCGAGAAAGCGAGAAGTCATTGTAGGCCTAACAATAATCTCGTGTTCGCGGGGCGAGATCGTCACATTCTCGCCCCGTTTCCTCCCGTTAGGCCACAATGGACTTTCATAGCTGATGACCCGAACGTATGATCTTACATACATTAAACAAACAACCATTAACATACTCATTGTACATATATTTATAATGTTTTCTTTAAGTGAATTTCTTCTCTTTCATTTCATACACCCCCTCATTCTTTCGTTTTCAAAGGGTGAATCTGGTCAGGGAAGTTTTAAATAAAATTACGATGTACCCCAACCTAATATTTTAGTGCATATAAATTAATTTGTCTTTTAAATTTGCAGGCTAGAGAACCCCAGAGGGTCTGACAAGGACAGTATCTAGTCGGTCGAATGGGGCGATAAACGGGGTCCCGTGTACATATTGGCGTGCACGTAAAATAACCCATGACATTCGGCTAATGAAGACGGGCATATGCCACACAGTGTGCTATGAGTGAAATTTTGCCCGGACAGCGGCACTATGGCCCATTCTTATACCGAATTCCAACTGTCAAGGGATATTTTACGTGCGCGCCAATGTATACACGAGACCTCGGTTTTTTGTCCCATCAGAACGACTAGACCGCTGTCCTTGTCAGACCCTCCATCCTGCACCTTCGTCTCATGACCTTAGACATTGTGTATAAATTTACAGTCAATCGGATATTAACTTTAGATTCTAGAGCGTCCACAAGATTTTTCAAAGTGACCAAGGGCCATAACTCTGGCAGTAATAATTGGAAATCGCTGAAAATCAATAGGCTTCTTCACCTCATGTGTATTAATTTAAACTCAATCGGATATTAATATTAGCCTCTAGAGCGCCCCACAAGCAATTGTGGACACCGGACCGACGGACGGCGGCAACGACATTATACGACCACATTTCAATGTGGGTGTATAAAAATGATTTTTTTCACCAAATAAAGAATTCCATACAAGTTTCCGTTTATATTTTATGTGTTACGGGAGTATGTGAACTCCTCAGTGACAAGAAGTTAAGTGTTATCAGATATTCTAGGAAGCATTATTGTCTGTATTATACTGATAGTATTGTGTACTCTGTCTGTGTTGTATTGTCCAGTTTTCCTACATTGTCTAATGAGAATTTTATTTGTTTATTTTGACGCATTGTCTGTCTATTTGTTTGGTTATAAGATATAAATAGGAAGAAAGAGGATGAAACGTTTATACGATTAACCTTCATGCTGGCTCAATCTCAAATATTACATAATCTAGAGCAGAAATATCTTCTATGTCAGGCAGTAGAGAATATTCTTCAGTGTGCTGACATTGAGATTTATTGCAAAAACACGTGGCACATCATTACTTAAATTAGAATAAGACAACGTTTGGGAAATATTCCCCCTTTTTTTTACGGAGATTGTGTCCCTTGTTGAGAGTAAGTTTTCATTATGACCAAAGCCTGTAACCCTCTTCAGGTCACAGATTGTACAGCGCAATGGATGCTTACGGCTGCTCACCGGTTTCATTCACTTGATTTGATATTACACTGGTGTTCTTGCAATGTCCGTTTAATATGTGCCTTGTCCACAGTTTTGTCTTACGGATATGTGTGTGTGTGTGTGTGGTGCGATCCACCAGCACATACTATTAGATGTGTTATAACAGGGAAGTATGGGTCGACGAAGAGGTTGGGGGTGGGGGGAGTAACGGGGAGATGTTATAAATGATTTTCTTTTCAGAAAATAAAACAATTTTGATTTTTTTATAATTTAAACTCAAGTGTGTTGAAGTAATGCTCTGAGAAAACTCGATAGTGAAATTCAGACAGTTTTCAGGGCTAATCAAACTGCTTGTTAGTTATCAGAATTGACCCAAAGGCGATCCATATATTGATCATTCTTTTAAAATTAAAACTTATTTCGGTCATTTGGTAATTGTCATTGATATGGTTAGATTGCCACTATAAATAAAAGTTATATAAGGAGGATGAAGATACATTTCATTGTATTACATGTTTTTAACGTTTGCGCTGATTCTCTGCCAAATACAGGTAATCACTTCAGACCTTTGTAGTTAAGAGTGAGTGAGACAGAGAGGTTGTTGGCATTATTTGGCAGGGAATCAGCGCAAACGTTGATAGAAACATAAAAAAACTCGCCTAGTTAAGTTTGTTTACATCTTTTACAGACTGGTGTTTCTGCGTTTTAGACAATTCTGAATATTTTCTTAGCTTATTTTCTCGTGATTTTTATATTCATGTTACTGTAACCATCTTGTTACGAAATAATACGACCTTGCTTTTTATTTATAACCACGGGTTATGTGCGCAGTTGCCCTGGCAGAATTCACCTGTCAAAAAATGTCATTCATTTTTTATTGATTTTTGGAGTAATCAAATTACCGAACACTTTTCATTAATTAATTCACTGTGTGATCTTTCCAAATTCTAAAATATATCTTTTAATATTGCGCCTTGTTCTCGAACAAAATATTTTGTACGTTACCATATATTCCCTGGATTTTTTTTTTTTTTAACCATGGCATGCAGTCCCGTCCCTACAACCCCGGAATTAAGCCGGTGTCTTTGCGTAGATACCAGACCTCCTGGTCTACAGCGATCGCGACACACCAATGCCAGTAACCCCCACCCCGACATTGACAACTCAAAATATTTAACTTAATTACTAGACCAAACCACCTATTTTACCAATAGATAACGATTGAAAAGGATTTGAGTAAACTTAAAACCCCGTGTTAATTAGAGGCGATATGTTAATTAAAGATACATTATGTAAGAGCTACATCGGGATATTGCAGGTCTTTATATTGGCTTCAAATGTTATAACTATTATTTATATAGCTATTCACATGACAACTCTAAAATCAACTCTCTCTTCGGATGGTGGACATTTAAACGGATTAAATCACGGTAGCCATTTAATGATTTAATTTAAAAATGGCGAATTGAGGGTAAGTACTGTACTGTTGTTACGATAATAAACAATCTATGACACATCTTGTCAAAACTTCAAAAGTGATAACTCCGTTCAAAATAAAGTAATATTAATTAAATATTTCAATATATTCAATTTACATTATCTATTTTCGAACTATTATAGAAAGAACGAGCAGCTAGTTATCTAAATCTTACATAATGCATCTTTAACGATAAGACGTTGTGTTAATAGGTAATTTTTTCCTATTTCCTATATATAACTGTTATCCTTTTAGATTGTCGGCATAGTACTGTTTGTTCTGGGTTTAGTTGGACAGTTATTCTAAATTATCTGTTAGATCATTAAGATTTATAGAACTATTTTGTCACTGGTCTTAATTGTATGAAAATTGGAATCTTCTTTATCTAGGTAATCATTTACAATAGATACACATAGTTTATATCAATTATAATGAAAGAAGAGGAATATGGATTACTGTTATTATTTTGACTAACACACCGAAATTTATATAATTACTTTGCAATAAACTAACACATGATTATTTGTATTGTCTTTAGGTATGTTGTCATGGTGAGGGTGGTGGTAGTATGTGTGTGTGTGTGTGTGGGGGGGGGGGGTGCTGCGCACGAATTACCTTGACAATATGATAGAAAAGTGCAAATTATAACAGAAAGTATGATGAAGTGTATAACATAAAGTGTAACATAACATAAAATGTAATATTCCACTGACAGGCAGCAATAATTTTCTCTATTTACGGCCGTTATTTAATTTTTCTTTAAATCTTTCTTTATTTTTAGGGATTTTTAACTTATAGATAAAATGCATAACCTTCATACAAGTCCTTAATATGTGTTTGGTTGAAAGAATCCGTGTGTATATATAGAATACAGCGAGCGTTAACATGTTTACCCACACGCATAATGTAATTATTGTATTTCCATCCAAGATCTAGGTCAGTTTCCACTCAAATCTAACACGCACATGTTTCTATCGTGTATACAGATTTTATATACCCTTCATTTACAAGGTGATATACTGTTCAACTCTTCCATCATCTACTCAATGGCTTTGTCGTCTGCATCAGAAACAAGCAGACGACAGTTTTAACAATGGACAATGGTGACAGATGTCGCAACATTACGTCACTATTTCTATTGTGGGGTTACTCTTTGTTGAAAGAAAAAAATATCAAAAAGAAGTGGAACATACCTTACTACATTCTGGTTCGTTTTCGCTCATTTTGCTCAGACGTTTGCTCCCGTTATGGCACGAGGCATCCTCTTTCAGTTAATATATACACGAGCGCGCGGACTGGTAGTAGCCACTATTATCCAGCGATCCATATAAAGCGGTCGTTATCATATACATCCTGACACCAAAGATTTTTTTATTTACATATATTAACTATTTTCAGTAGTGTCTCTATAACATGTGTCTTAACATATGATTGATTTTTTTATAATTTAAACTCAAGTGTGTTGAAGTAATGCTCTGAGAAAACTCGATAGCGAAATACTGACAGCTGGATAACCAAAGCTTATTTATATTTACATTATTATACGCACGATAATTTTACAAGCGCCCAATCTTTGTTTGGTCTGGTCACAGATCAGCAATATTCTTACACGAATGAAATGAATGGGGTTAAACGCCCGAATCTAGGAAAAAAAGTCACAGGTAAAAAAGTCACAGTAAAAAAAAAACACAGTAAAAAAAACACAGGTAAAAAAGTCACAACTTATATATATTGCATTGTAGAGTGAGTATATCTTTGATCTTTTAAGTTATTTGTCTTTGAGTTAATTAGGTTTGGTTAAATATTTTGTTTGTAGCAATGGTACTTTATCTGGTCTTTAAACCTTTACTTGGAGTTTGTATGTGTATTTTTCTTGCACTGAATAGTCCGATCTTCACATTGCTGTTTCCAAGACACTGTATCAGAATCCACAGGCCTACCTACATCCTATGATTAATAGGCAGAATGGAAAAGAGAAAACCCGAGATAGAGTGTCTCGCAATCACCCTGCAGATGAAGCACAGATCTCCTTGACCAAGGTGCGTCTGAGAATGAAGCAGCAGGCATCCGACACCAGAGACAATTTGAGATGTAATAAAAAAAACTGTGACTTTTTTTCATGTGTTTTTTTTACCTAGGCAAATTTGTGACTTTTTTACTGTGACTTTTTTTCCTGTGACTTTTTTTCCGCGCACCAAACGCCCTACTGTTCTGCTCCGAAATGCAGCTAACGAAGACGGACCCACGAAAACAATGACAAAGCTAGTTTTAGTCTTTCTCCCCCAGTCTCTCCCTCACCCCCTCCTTTTGCACGGAGAGCTTTGTTGACGTTTTGGTGTAGAATTGAACAAAAAGGTTTGAATATACATTTTCTACCAGGGTTTGGTGAATATTCATGATCTTGAGGCGGAAGGATACAAAAGTTAAAAGGTTGGTTGGGTTGAAATGTAGAGCAGAAAATAGCATATTTACTTGTCTCTACTTCCAGTTCGTGTATCTCAAGTTTTCCACGACGAATCTCATATGTGTTTTTGAGCAAAAGCTTGCTCCATCTGTGGTAGAAACTTTCTGCCCAACGAAAATTTGGGAAAAGTTTAGAGACGGTCTAAGAGACGAGAATTAATATTAAAGTCAATGGGGTAATCATTGGTGATCTGTGGTCGTCGAGTTTAACGGATATACATTATTGATTTTTGTTAAATGATGGTAATCTTTAGTTTCGTATCCCGCCCATGTAATAATCAAACTTGTTGTGTTAATTCGGCGAATCATATTTTTTTGTGTGGAAATTCAGACTTTACGTCAAATTTATGCGTAGTTTTTTTTTATTAGGCCCTACCTCTGATCCACTCAAAGAAGTCTAGTGATTTTATAAGCGAAATATAATTTGAGCCAAACTAACATAGGTCATATTTTGAATAAACGTTGGCGCAATTTACCCCAGTTCGATTGAATTAACATATTGTGGAACTAGCTATTCGTAGTCAGAACACTTGTGGAATGTATATGTATAATGCTATGAAACAAGTTTATATGTATAGTGTTATCTAAAAGACTCGCTGAGATCCAGACGTAACGCGGTTGGAACTGACCAGATATTTATCCCTAGGCAATTGGAATAAAATCGGTGGACAAATTTTCATCACATAGCCAAAGAAATAAAAACAAACCTATAAGTGTTATTAGTCATTGTGCAGTGCCCCCCATGCCTACCCCCATGTGACTGGCTTAAAATATTTTAAAAACATATGGATGTACTATTTATTCGAAACTAGTAGCCATGCCGTTTCTAAGATGCAGTTATCTCTGTTGATCGTGTTCCTTATCCATGACATATTACAATTCCAGTATTATGTCGATATTTAGAAACAATTATTATACCAAATCCCACCACCGCCACTAGCTCCATTTCGTCTTTAACATCGGTAATAACTGTAGAGCCCATTACTGGTCTTTGTCCAACAGTATATTGTGAGATAAATAAACGGAAAACCTGGGAGTACTATGTATAACGGTATAAAAAGTAAATTCATATGCATTAGGCTTCACAAACAAACAGGAAAACAAACAACTTAACTATAGAAAGGACTAAAGGGGGTCATTTTGTGCATCAATGGGGCAGAAAGGTAGGACGTTAAACTCAAATTCGTTCAATCATCAATCCGTTCAGTGATTACAAAGATGTATAACGAATTTGAGATCCTCTGCAGACGATATAAATGGTGTATTGCCAAAAACAAGCCAGCGCCACCTATAATATTCGCTAAAATCTTTTGATGAATTTCTCTTTCATCCGATTGAATTCAAGACGGGTGAAAACCTACCGTTGATATTGTAATTTATTTTTTTTTTAATTAAGTGTTAAACCAAGAACAATTGTGTGTAAAATAGTAATCACGATCAGCGGGTTTAACATTGTGTATAATATTATTCCTTCATCCACCCATCTCAAAATATTTCATATTATGCAAAACAAACATGACAGAAAAACAAAATTCAAACGCCTTCCATAATTCTAGTCTCAAAAATAACCGTAAATTTCAAGGAAATCAAGGACAAACGATTTTCTAATGAAAACAAAAATAGTGAATCTACATCATCTCTGGCTACTTTCCTGACCTTAATATAAAGCAGCACTGGAGCTGGATTGTACTGCCTGGACGTATTTTTTCTATGCATATTAATATTGAAATACAGTATAGCTTAAACATGATATTTTGAATGATTTAACACCACAGGCACTTGAAAGGATTAAAATCAAAATTCTTGCTACTGCATATTACAATAACAACAAAGTGCGTCACCCGCCATATTGTTTTGAATCCTTGAAGCGATTTCGTCTATCATCTCACAACATTCATTAAGTCTAACGTTTCCCTCTTCTTTATAGCACTATCACTTGTCGATTATCAACTTCGTGGGACCGGAAATAACACCAAATTAGGTCAATGACGTCGCGTTGGGGAAGCCCTTATTTTTGACTGGTCGAGGCGTGTTACTAAAACTAAAATTGACTTTTATAGCGGAAATCTCAGAATGACAGCTGAATACTCTCATTGGTATGTAACATACTTAGGAAAATTTAATTGATCTCTCAGACAAACAGGTAAAGTAATAAAAAATATATATAATATTTGCCATTTAGTTGGCAAAATGAGGTGCCCGAAACTTTAGGTGATTTTGTAGCACCATTGAGCCTTCTGTCAGACGTGGAGAGCGGACGCGGGAAAACCGGTCGTCACATCCTACGTACAACCCATGCATCTTTTCTTACTACATATCTTAGTAGCCTTGTGATCGTCTAGAATTTGTCTCTAGCTGTCTTTGCTTCTGCTTCACGTTGTGTATTTACTTCTTACTGTTTTCTTGAGACGGTCATCTTACCAGGAATAACAATGCAACAGTTCGTTTTTACATTTTATATATCATAGCTGCTTACATATGGATACAATGCATAATAGAATAAAGTCATTCTCTCAAACCTCATTCAGCCAGACTAGCTGGGCGAGTCTGCTGATAGAAATTGCTACATCTTTTCCCTTCCAGAATCTAGCTGTTGTCTGACAATCGCCCACCAATATGATAGTTTTGTAGCTTTGGGCTTTGGACCTCCAATTATCTAATTGGTCAAATATGATGTAAATATTTACAGAGATTGGTCAAACTAAACCAAATGATGCAATGGGTAAATTTCCAGTCACATGTTTTTTGACACAATCTATCCTTGAACTTAGACCCTCTTTCTTGTTATTCTCAAACTATTTCATAAACAATTAATTTGCGTTTTAAATAAACTCATACCATAGCTAATATACTGACAATAGAGAATAATTTGTAAAGATACAAATATTGTTTAAACCATCTTATATCTCTATTCCTTGTCTATAAATTTAAAAACAATGTCGCAACGACGATATTACTACAAATTCTCAATCCAAAAAAAACCCCAATGCGCATTGGTGTTCCACGGGCATGAAATAATCAATAACTTTATCAATTGGTTCATCACCTAACATAATAACATTCAGTTGTACTACTTCGAAGTATTTTACATTTTTCAGCCCAATCTAAGTCACATTGCTGTTTCATAATACATCCTATTTCTATCAGATTTGAGACACACAATTTGTCCTAATTCAGACAGATACTGGGCGTAAAATATCTAGTCTGTGTTTTGTGCAAAACTATTGTCAGCATTCATCAACCGACAATGTAAATATCGTGACAAGGTTATCCTCTCTGAGTGGTTATCATAGTATGTAGCAGTGCCTTTAAGAAACAATGTTGGGTAACACATGGCTTCGTTACTTTTTTCAGTTAATATCCTAACAGGACTGTTACCTTCAACAGGAGAAGTAGAAAATATACTATCAAAATGGGTGTCTAATGTTTAACATACAATGTCAAGAGATTGTAAACATGTAGCTAATTCTGGACAATTTGATTTCTCTTCTTCAATATCAATGATAGGTAACTCTTCGTCTTTTTCATTACCTGAATGGTCTGAAACCTTGCCTTCTTAAAACATAGTTATCTCCCTTGAACATCTCATCATCGTCTGAAATGTTAACCTATTCATCATTAAATTCTATCTGAATAATATTTGTTATTTTGTTTTAGATATTGTAAAGCAGCTTTCATTTTCTTCTCCTCTTACTTATATATTGATATATTGTTTATAAGGCATTTAGTGATAGGACTAACATTGAAAAAACACAACACAACTTTATGGGTAACAATCACTAGCAACTTTAATAGTGCAACGTTTCAACAAGTGTCCTCTTGTTATTATGATACAAAACCTGGGA